GGAGAGGAGGGGCTGAGGAGCTCTGAGGAGTCCCTGTTTGTAAACACCATTAATCAGGGATTAGCAGATGGGTAGGCTAATTGCACCTGTGGAAGTGAGAGACCTCAAGGTTGATTACATTTACAAACTGTAGGGATCCCTGGTGCCTGACCCTGCAGGAATATGTGGGTGTGTGGGGGGGAGTCTGGTTTAGGGCCCCAGACCTGGGAGAGGGAGGTTTGACAATCTAGCCTCTTGTCAGAAAATATATATATTCAGCCCTGGTGTTGGGGTGGGGGAAGGGGAAAGGCAGTATGTGTGATAGGAGGGATAGCAGAGGGTATAGGAGCCATGCAGCTGCTGAAAGAATTCCAAGTCAGCCCCCAACCCTCATGAGACCTTCAGCATCCTGGCGAGGGTGGAGAAAAGTGGGGCGGGGGCTTAACAAACAGGAATTTTATAAATGTTTTCTCAACCCCAATCCTTCCCCAACTCCTCCCAGTAGTCTCTCAGGGTAAATCATTGTGTTGTCTCTTCAAGAACCTGTGAGTAATCTGAAGCCAGTCTGAAAGAAAAGCACAGCCTTGACCTCAGGTGTATCTAGGAAGAGCAAGCATTCTCCTCCAGGTCTGGGGCTGAGGGCTTTCCTTGTATGATCTTGCAGTTCATACTACTGTGATCCTCACAGATAATAAAAACAGAGGCTTGGAATTGAAAGGGCCTGGACATGTTTGTACTACTAGTAGTAAGCCACAGGGTTGGAACTCAAACTGAGTACTATTTAACAGGTAAGGTCCTGCTCTTAAACATCATTTTATATATATATATATTAAGACAGGGTCTCATGTAGCACAGGCTAGCCTCAAAGTCACTAATTAGCCTAGGCTGACCTTGAACTTACCATCTTCCTGCCTCCACCTCCCAAGTGCAGAGATTACAGTCTTGAGTCACTATGCCCAGCTCATTAACCAGTTTTCTCCTTTGACTTCATCTCAACTAACTCCCAGGCTCAGTGCTGGATATGGTACAAAGGGACACACAGGCACACCCCCAGAGAAACAGGAGCAATAGGGTAAATATGTATAAAAGGAGATAAGAAATTGGCTCATACAATTATGGAGGTGGGCAAGTAGTCCCAAGATCTGCAAGGTGAGTAGACAAGCTGGCAGAGAGCTGAGGTCCCAGCCTGTATGTGAAACCTAGGAGGTAGGCAAGCCAAGGCACAGTTCCCATCCAAAAGGCAGTAGGCTGAACCAGTGGATGGTTCAGCTGAGTCCAAAGGCAGGAAGAACTCTCTCACCTGAGGGTTGGTGGCCTTCTGTTCTATGAAGACCCTCAACTGACTAGAAGTCATCTGCTCTACTCAGTCTACCAACTTACAAGTCAACCTCTTTCACAAACAATTTCATAGAAATATTCAGAGAAATGAGAGGAACGTTGCACCAGTTAGGTTGACAATAAACAAACTATCCTATCAAGTTCTGTGCTAATCCTGGGGTTGACAGTTCTTTAGTTTACAGAACATTTTTTTCTGCAGCCCCACATGCTAGGCAAATGCTCTACCACTGAGCTACAATCCAACCCAACAGAACATTCTTTCCTGGTTTTATTTCCTTTTCTTTTCATAATGCCCTTGCTGAGAAGAGAAGGTAAAGTCAGTGTCAAATAACACTATTCCCATTAGTTCTTTCTCTTTTTTTTTTTGTCTTTTTGAGACAGGGTCTCCTGTATCCCCAGCTGGCCTGGAACTCAGTATGTAGACCAGGCTGGCCTTGAACTCACAGAGATCTGCCTGCCTCTGCTTCCCAAGTACTGGGACCAAAGGCATGTGTCACCATGCCCGGCTCACTATTCCTATTTCACAGATGAGAATGAGAAGGCATCTAGTCTGGACACCATGGAGCTAGGCTGAAATACTATCTTCCTAGAGATACCCTAGAGATAGATGAAAGATCCTATTGGCCCAGCTCTTCAAGTCTGAGCTCAAAAGCACAGGTGGGATACGCTGCTGGCTGTGACTGGTAGGCATTTCTTGGACATGAGTAGGTGCCTTAAAGGTCAGTGATTTTTTTTTTCCATAGAACAAGCCTTGATTTTTATTATTTAAAGGCTTATTTATTTTATCTTATGTGTTTATGTATATTCCTGAGTGTATGTGTATGTACCATGTGTGAACAGGTATCCACAGAGACCAGAAGAGGGTCTCTGTTGTGAGCCACCTGATGTGGGTGCTGGGGACCAACCCCAGGTCCTCTGCAAGAGCAGCAGGTACTCTTAACTGCTGAGCCATCTCTCTAGTCCCAATATTTATTTAGTTCCTGACTGTGTTTGTGCCTTCAACACCTTCACAATAGTTTTCTGCGTCTTGATAAGGAAGGCATGCTTGATCCTGTCATGGACACATCTGACACACATGGAACCAAGGCACTGCTGACAGGTTTCTTGTTTTAGACACTCTCGTAAGGACTTTCATTTTCACTACACAAACCCCTCGAAGCCTGCCTGGGCATACACAACAGGCGGGTTTTTGTGCTTTCCCAACCTTCTTAGTATAAAGTTAAACAATCTGGAACAACCTAGTTTTGCAGGAAAGCCTATTGAAACAGTGTCAAATGCTGTTCTGAGTGCCTCTAAGCATTGTTCCTGGAAGAGGGAAAAAAAGCTCTTTTTAAATGGTATTGCTACATAGCCCTGGCTAGTCTGATACCTGCTATGCAACTCATGGCACTCTGCCTACCTCAGCTCCTGTCCTGGGATTGCAAGTGTGCACCACCATATCTGATAGGCCATTCATTCTTGAACCTAGCAGCACATGGGGAACTGATCCATTGCTAAGCAGCAATCCCAGCACAAACAGTTGGATCTCTGTGAGTTCAAGGCCAGCCTAGTCCAGATAGCAAGTTCCAGACCAGCCAGGGCTCTACATAGTAAGACCTGGCCAAAAAACAAATAAATGAATAATGATTCACAAAGCCTAGAATGGTGAAGTAGGAGGACAGAGATTTCCAGGCTACTCTGAGCTACATTGTAAGAAACTATCTTACAAAAAAAAAAAAGGAGCTGGAGAGATGACTCAGTGGTTACAAGTGTATACAATTCTTACAAAGGACCTAAGTTTAGTTACCAGCACCCACAGTGGGAAGTTCACAACCTCTTATAATTCCAGCTCCAGGGGATCTGACACCCTCTTCTAGACTCTGTAGACACCTCCACACTCCAGGTGCACATATCCACACACATATACACAATTCAAAAATAATAAAAATAAACCTTTAGGGGCTGGGAGAGATGGTTCAGCAGTTAAGAGTACTTGTTGCTCTTGTAGAGGACCCAGATTTGGAGGGTAACAACCAACCTTAACTCCAGTTCCAGGGGATCTGACACCCTGGCCTCTACAGACACTTCATGTACATGGTACACAAAAATACATGCAAGCAAAACACCTATATACATAAAATTAAAAAATCTTGAAAAAAAATTTTTTTTAATCCTTAGAAAGAAAGAAAGAAATGAAAAGAAAAAGGGATTGGGCCCAGTGGCTTAAGATAATATATCCTGCCAGGTGTGGTAGTGTAGGCCTTTAATCCCAGTACTTGGGAGGTAGAGGCAGGCGGATCCCTGTGAGTTCAAGGCCAGTCTGGTCTACATAGTGAGTTCTAGGCCAACTGGGGTTACAGGGAGACCCTGTCTCAAAAAGCCGCCCCCCCAAAAAATATAGTCTAGCAATTAAGAAGCCTTAGGCAGGGAGAGTGCATGTTCAGGACCTGCCTGGCTATAGGATTGAATTGAAGACCAGTCTGGGACCCTGTTCCAAAATAAAGAAAAGTAGAGAGAAGGCTGCTCTTGCAAAGGACCAGGGTTTGGTTCCTAGCACCCACATGGAGGCTTACGATTGTAACTCTAGTTCCATGGAATCCAATACTTTCTTCTGGCCCCTAAGAGCTCTGCATATATGTGGTTCACATCAAAAAAACATTCATACACATAAAATAAAAATAAATAATATATATATTTTTAAAGATAGCTCAGTGGTACAGTGTTTGCCTAGCATGAGCTAGGTAAATCCCAAGTACCACCAAAAAAAGAAAGGAAGTTGGGCAGGAGAGATGGATCCATGGGTAAAGGCACTTTCCCTCAGGCCTAACAACTTGATTTCAATCTCTAGGACCCACATGGTAAGAGAGACTCAACTTCAGCAAGTTGTCCTCTGCCTCCACATATGTGCTAATAGCATATACATGCCCCCAACACACACACACACACACACACACACACACACACACACACGCAAGGAAGGAAGAAAGGAAGGAAGGGAGGGAGGGAGGGAGGCAGAGAGAGAGAGACTAGAGAAATGGCTCAGTGATTAAGAGCACTGGTTGCTCTTGCAGAAGATTTGGGTTCAGTTCCAAGCACCCACATGGTAGCTAACAACTATCAGTAACTCCAGCTCTCCAGTTCCAGGGGATCTGACACCCTCTTCTGGCGTCTGTGGACACCAGGCATATACACAGTACACTTACATTCATGCAAGCAAAACATGCATACACAAAGAAATAATCTATTTTTTTAGATAGGCTCTCCCTATAGCTCCAGCTGACCTGGAACTCAGTATGTAGACCAGGCTGGCCTCCAGCTAGGGGATCAGAAGTCCAAGGTCATCCCTGGATACATAGTGTTCAAGGCCACTCTGAGATACATGAGACCCTATCTCAAAACACACACACACACACACGCACACACATTAAAAAAAAAAAAAAAAAAGAATTATCTGGCTCAAATGCCAGTAGTGTAATCACTAACAGCAATCCTGTCCTCACCACCTCTCAAAAGCAAGGGCATTGGGCCATGGGTTCCTTCCCCTGAGCTGGACTGGTCAGTGTTGGAGAGCTGTTTGCTAATTTCCTTGACTGTAATGGGGTTGCAGAAAGGGTGTCCTTGCAAGTGGCTGCAAAACTGTGGACCAAAGAGCAAGGCTGCCACCTAATGGAGGGACCGAACAGAACATCTCAGAGATTAAGGGCTTACTGGTAAGAGGTAACATTTTATTTCATCTGGACAGTGGTAGGGATGAGCCCCAGTTCACTCAGCTTCCCTCTACACCCTCACCCTCACATTCAACACAGGCTTTTCACTGGGATGCCTGATCCTTTCTCAGGCCAAGACATCCCCTTGACTTCTAGGCAGGATTCCATAGGACAGATATACCCTGCCCTAGCCCATCCTGGAAATTAACAAACTACCATCTCCAACAAGAAAACAGGAAGCAATTTCCTTTGGTCTCTACAGCAAAGTCTCCTGACTGTGATCAATACACAGGCTCTCACAAGGCAGAGAGCCAAGCACATCTCAGACAGCCTAAGTCAGCCTCCCTTTGGCCTCTGTTTTTCTGACCCCAATGACAATCCTGGGTACTGGGCCTCTCTGAGTCCTTCAGCTGTAGCTGAGGGTTCTTCAGGGTCTTGGGAAAGCTGCCCTCTCTCCTTCTCCAAAGGGAAACACTTCCTCTGACTGCAAATGGAGTGCAGAAGAATTCCTGCAGACAAAAGGAGACAGAGAGGAGGCAGCTTGTGACACATGTGGAGCATGCTCTCATTCTGCACATACAGCAACCAAGGCACAGATGGCGCAGTTTGTTTAAGATGAATCATCTAGAAAAGGAGAGGAGACAGAAGCCACCCCTAGATGATGAGGGCAAGGGAAGGTGTAGACTCACCTGTGGCCACGGACACATTTAAAGACTCGAGACCAGTTAGTAACTGGCGCCTGGGTAGGATAGTGAGGAGCAGCTGGCAAGAGGCCAGCACTTCTTGGGACAAACCAGAGCCCTCGTTCCCTGCAGGACATGGAAGAGAGTATTAGGGAGCACCAGTTTGATACCTAAATGCTTAAAAAATACACATCTGAACACAGAAAAAGCAAGGATGTCTACCTACCCAGCACAAGGAGAGTAGGCCGGTCCCAGATGAACTCTAAGCAGTTAGTGATGGGGACCTGGGAGGACTGGGAGATCTCAGGCCCGGGGCAGGCCACCGTGCCTGCCACCAGCCAACCCTGCTGGACTTTGGCCTGAAAGAGGAAAGGAAAGAAGACTCCGTGTCCCAGTTGACCAAATTTTATCAGAGCCATGGCCAAAAAGGAGCCCAGCCTTGTGCACATATATGATCATTCAGAGAGCCCTTCAATTTAGTCAGTAGTAAATTGGCCAGTCTCTCCACTGGACACTGAGGATAGGGTCAAGAGCACAGCAAACTAAAATTCCAGCTGTGTGGCAGGATGGCTGGGGGAGGGCTGGCTCCTTGAAGTGACAGCAGAGTACAGACCTGAAAACAACTGAGAGAGCACCTTGGGGAAGCTTGGGGGAGGTTTTAGGCAGGGAGATCTACCAGTGCAAAGACACAAAGGCCTTAAACCTAGCATATCTGAGGAACCATAAGGTGGCCAGTGGAAAGGGAATCATCAAAGAGGCAGAAAAACAGGCACATAGAGTAGACCCTCAAAGGCTACTAGGAGGATTTCAGCCTTTACTCAGATACAAAAGCTCTGAAAGGTTTTGTTTTTGATAGGAGTTTACTATATACCCTAAGCTGGCCTTGAACCCAGGATGATCATCCTATCTTAGCCTCTCAAGTACTGGGATTTTAAGTATGCGCCACCAGATCTAGTTCTTTGAAAGGTTTTGAGCAGAGAAGTTACAGAATCTGACTTGTGTTTTAACAGAATCATTCTCCCTGCAATATTGAGAAGCAAAAGTCAGGGTAAGACCAATAAGGTTTCCACCATAATACCATGGGAACTTGGGATAGAAGAAATGGTGAGAAATGGCAATAGTATGCAAATAACTCCAAGAAAAAGTAAAAAAGATTTAGTGACAGGTGAGATACAGGTGTGAAAACAAGAGGAAGTCAAAGATAATTTCTGGCCTGAACAACTGGGCTGGGTAGGCCTCAGGACAGGTGGTCAGCCCTGGAAATGGGGAGTTTGAAATGCTCATGAGATGGAGAAAGAGAAGGGAAGGGAAGGGAAGGGAAGGGAAGGGAAGGGAAGGGAAGGGAAGGGAAGGAAGCTACAGCAGAGCCAACAAGATGAGTTTGTCACTGAGGGGGCGAGATTCACGTTAGAGCATTCATTTGAGAGGTCAGTTGAAGGGGACAGACGGTTGTTAAAGTCGTGAGAGAGCTAATGAAATGTCTCAGTGGGAAAATGCTCTTGCCACCATGGCTGACAACCTAAGTTCAATAACCAGAGCCCATATGGCAGGAGAGAACTGATTCCTGCAAGTTGTTCTCTGACCTCCACACGCATACTGTGGCATGTACACATATACACACAAAAAACAAGCAAATAAATCTATAAAAGCCAAAATAAGGACTCAAACCCATTAGGGTAAATGAGAAAAGCAAGTGACTTTATATAGAAAAGAGACCCAAGGACTGAGACCTGGGACATGCTAGTGTTTAGAGGTCATGGGGTTAAAGAGAAATCACCAAATGACTACAGGAGAGTACACAGAGAGGCACAAGGAAGTGGGAGAGTGGGTGTGGCCCACTGTGTATAAGGCCTGGGTTCAAGTACCAGCACTGAAAACAAAAACAAAAAATAACAAGAGTGTAGAGGGAGTGGACTATGCCAGATGCTGTGGATTGGGCAAGAACTAAGAACTGACATTTGAAGCAACATGAAGGACACTCATGACTTTGTCAAGAGCTTTGATTCAGTATGGGGTAAGGATCGGACTGGTATGAGACCAAGAGACTAAGAAGAGAATGTTGGCATGCTAGAGAGGCTGGAATTGCTGGAGCTGTGCTTTTCCTAGGCAGGAAAGGGTAGAATCCAGTGTTGGCTGCTGGCTGCTGCTGGTACCTTCAGCTCTTCCAGTGACAGGAAGACAACTCTGTGGCCCAGCTGCTGATGGAAGCAGATGTGCTGAGTGGAGCTTAATTATGTGCTCTGCAGCGTTTTTGTTTATGCAGGAGCTACTTGCTCAGGGACTGGAAGTGAGGAGGTGGGTATCCCACTTCCTATTAGGCTTGGCCAGAGTTCCTCTGAAGAGGCCAGCCTACGAGATTTTTGCCAGAAAATGCTTCTAGACACATGCTGCTCAACATAGAAACCACTAGCTACACATGACTATTAAGAGTTGAAATGTGGCTAACCCAAATTGAGATGTTATGTGTAAACAATTTTACAAAGTTTAAAAAAAATAATTTATGTGTATGAGTGTTTTGCCTGCATGTATGAAAGTGTACCCTTGTCATACAAAGCCCATAGAGGCCAGAAGAGGGTGTCAGATCCCCTGGAACTGGAGTTAAGGTGCTGTAGGTGCTGGGAATCAAATCCAGGTCCTCTGGAAGAGCAGCCATCTCTCCAACCCCAATGTGTAAACATTTTAAATGGGATGGAAGCCAGGCACAGTGGTCCACACCTGTAAGGCTAAGGTAGTATTGCTGTGAATTTGAGATTAGCTTGGGATACACAATGAAAACTTTTTTTCATGAATACTTAAATGATGTTGAAATGATAATAGTTTGGATATAGTGAGTAAAATTAATTTCCTCTGTTTCTTTTTTACTTTTCTTTTTTTTTTTTTTTTTTTTTTTTGAGACTAGGTTTCCTGTAGCCTAGGCTAAGCCATGAATGAACGAGCTTCCTGTTTCTACTTACTAAGAAATACAGTTATGTGCCATCACACCAGCTCGTTTTACTTTTCAATGTGGTTACTAGATCTGAAATTACACATGTGACTTGTATTATATCTGTATTAGGCTGAGTTGTTCTAGGTCCCACAGTTCTCCCGATTCCTCGCCTTCCAATCTAGAAAGGGGGGAGGGGAGGGGGCTGGAAAGGATTAGAGGGGCTGCCAAATGTGAGGCAATGCTGCCCCCTTGTGTCTAGCTAAAGACAGCCAAACTTAGCATGCAGCTTCCTAGATAAGAAAGTTGGCACCCTCTTGTTCAAAGATGCTTTCAAGTTGAGTTTCTACTGGAGGTATCCCCATCTCCAATTTCCCTGGGCCAAACAAGCATTGCTGAAGACCCCAGGAGCAGGCAATGACACATTGACTTAGCGACCCTGGTGGCCAAGGCGTGTAGAAAAGAACATGGGGCGAGAAAGTCCCTAACTTCAGACGGTGCTCCATTTGTGATTTTGAAGACCCCAGAACCCTTCCCTTCCCAGTGGGACTTAGAAGGCTGTAGGAGTCGATGCCACCACGTTCCCTTCTCTCCCTTTCCCCTCTCCACTGCTAGCTGAGTGGCTTGACGAGGACCAAGCTAGACTCATCTCCTCTCCTTCTCCTCTTGTCCCCCGTTACCTGCAAAAACCCGGCCAGGTCACGAGTGGCGAACACGTCCATCACCTCCATAGCCCCGGCGCTGGCCTTGCTGACTACTGGAGTAAGCCCGCAGCTGTAAAGGTTCCCAGGGACCCGCGTTAGGCCCGGCAATCTCAAGGCCCCGCGCCCTACCCACCCCCGGGCTCCCGAAGGTTTGGGGTGAGAGTTCGGGCAACCGGGAAGCCTGGCTGAGGGATCACCCAAAGCCAAGGTGCTTAGGTACTCGGCTCCGCCTCCAAATTGGACATAGAAAGAATACAAAGGGCGCCCGTGCCTGCCTGTTTCTCCGGCAGGTGATGACTTTGTTCACTCCGAGGAAATGAGCAGAGCGCAGTACAGCGCCAAGATTCCGGGGATCCTGGAGCCCCTCGAGGACGAGCCAGAGCTGCTGAGGGTCTTCGCCTGGGCTCGCCTCCTCCGCTTCATCGGAAGGCCGGAGTCGCAGCGGGCTCACCTCTAGGCAGACGCCCTGGTGTACCTGGTAGCCGCACAGGGCGTCCAGCTTCTGCCGTCTGGGCCTCAGCACCGGGATGCCCCGCCCCTCGGCCTCCCGGAGCAGCTCGGCCCGCTCGCCCTGCAGCTCAGCCCTGCCGGCTTGGAGCAGGAGCCGGGCCACGCGGCGGCGGGCGGCCCGCAGGGCAAGGAGACACGGGGACAGGCCGAACAGAAGCTCCAGCCGCTGCGTCGGCGCCAAGTCGTCGAGAAGCAGGCGGCTCAGCTCCTGTCCTCCAGGCCGCTCGCCGCGCCGCGCCACCGGGGAGAAGTGGCGGACTACCAGGCGACCCGTGCAACACCGGGTCGCGCCTCTGACAGATGAGAGCAGTCCCATAGCTCGAGCTGCGCCGGGGACTCGACTAGCAGATGGGTGAAGAGGACCCGCCGGCCGCCACCACCGTGGCGCCTCAGCTAGGACGAACCGCCCCAGCTCCTGGCCCAAACACAGTCCGCAACGGGACAGATTCCTACACGGAGTCCCCAGCTTCCGGGTCCCGGCGGCCCCGCCCCCTTCCGGATGACGCCACGCTCAGGCTTGACTGCCCTGACGTCCCCAGAGCGCCTCCTACAGGATTAGCTCGGTGGGTGAGCCCAGAGGCAGTGCAGATGCGGAGCTCCGGGTGGCTGCTCCCTTTGCGAGAGGTAACAAGAGGCTAGGGTTCACCTACAAATCTGCAAAGGCCAATTTAAGAGGACGGCTTGGCCTTCCTGTCCAATCAAGTCAGTGTAGGTGCCTCCTCCTCACATCCAGGCACATCCCATCTGGGGATTTTCCCCAGAAGCTTCTCCTTGTCAGACCCTCATCACCAGCCAGCAAGTCCCCAACGATATTTCCCATCTGGCTTTCTTCTGAAGAAACAGCTCTGAGCCTACGGTGTTCCAGACTGACAAGCAACAGGTGCCCTTGGCCTACAGGTAATGCCCGGACTCCTTTGCCCACTGCACGGATCCTGGATATCCTTTTCAATTCTGTTTTCTTACCTTCTCTTTTTTCTTTCTTTTGCTTTCTTTCTTTCTTCCTTCCTTCCTTTCCTTCCTTTCTTTTCCTTTTCTTCCTTCCTTTTCTTTCTTTTTAAATATTTATTTATAGAACTGGAGAGATGGTTCAGCAGTTAAGAGCACTGGCTGCTCTTCCAGAGGACTGGAGTTAGATTCCCAGAGTTAACAACTGCCCATAACTCCAGTTCCAGGGGAATCCAACACCTTCTTCTGACTTCTACAGGCATTGCACGACACAGGTGCACTTCCATACATGCAGACAATACACTCATACACATAAAATATTTTAATATTTATTTACTTGAGGCAAGGTCTCACTTTTATAGCTCTGCCTGGCCTGGAACTCGATATGCAAACCAGGGTGGCCTTGAATTCAGATCTGCTTTTGCTTCCTGAGTGATGGAATTAAAGATCAGTGCTACCACACTTGCTCCAATTAATTTTTTCAATTGGAGTTATTTGTGACAAAGTCTCATTTAGTATAGGCTGGCCTTGAACTCCTGATCTTGCCTCCACCTCCTGAGTGCTGGGATAATACCCACATCTGGGTGGTGGTTCTTCTTTTTCTTCTTCCTCCTCCTTCCTCTCCTCCTTCCTCCCCTCCCCCTTCCCTTTTTTCACAGAGACTCAATGACCTCGAATTCTGATGTTCCTGCCAGAGCCTTCCAAGTCTGGCACCTGTACTAACCTGAATGTTCTCTTGGGCCTCCTAACCTCACATACACAGTTTGCCTTCTCTGTGGCACACTCTCCATTTTCAAGACACAATCCAACACTCTCCTGCTCCCACTCAAGGAAGTGATGCTCCAAATGCACCCACCTTCCCACTTACCTGGAAGAAATTTTGAGATACAACCACACTGATCATCAAGAGGGGGAAGAGGGGCTGAAGAGATGGCTCAGCCGTCAAGAGCCCTGGCTGCTCTTGTAAAGGACCCAGGTTCAATTCCCAGCACCCACAAGGCAGCTAACAACAGTCTGTAACCCCAGTTCCAGGATATCCGATGCCCTCTTCTGACCTCCACAGGCACTGCACAACACAGATGCACTTACATACATATAGGCAATACACTCATACACATAATTTTTTTTAAGGGGGAAGAATTAGCCAGGCATGGTGGTACATGCCTTTAATCTCAGGGAAGGCAGATCTCTGTGAGTTCAAGTCCAGCCTAGTCTACTTAGTGAGTTCTAGGCCAGCCAGGGCTACAGGGAGACCCTGTCTCAAAAAAACCAAAAAGGGAAGGGGGGATTGAAAGATACTTCTGAAGCCAAGGTAGGTTGATTGCGATCTTCCTTTTTATTAGAGTGCAATGTACTAGGACACAGACTCTGATATTCTGCAGCCATAGTCAGAGTGCAGTGATGACCCCTAGGGCAAGAGCCAAGAATGGGCTGGAGAAGTAGAAAGGAAGAGAAGGGAGCCTGGAACCCTGGATAACCATTCGGATAGGAGATGAGGGCCTGTCTCTGCTATCCCAACTCTGTAGGGTGGCAAGTAGGGTGCAAGAAGATGGAAAAATACCCCTTTCGGCCACATTCCCTTTCCCAAGGTCAAAACGAAGAGACTGAGGAAAGCAAAGACTAAGGAGCCCAAGAGGGAGTTCAGAACAAGTTAACAGATTTAAACCATGACAACTTGCCATCTCCCCCCAGCCTGTTTTTTCACATTTGCAATAGGAATAATTTGACAAGTTTTCTATCCCTTAGTGGGGTGGAAACAAAAAGATCCAGGGTCCAGAAGTCAACACCTAAAATCCAGAGGCAGAGGCAGAGGCAGAAGGCAAGCTCCAAAGTGGGGAGGGAAGGAGGAGCTTCCCATAGGACACTAGGTCACCTGCTCTGTGGGCCTCATCTGGATGTCTCCAACCTGTGAAAGGCAGAAGGCTTGAGACAGCCACCCTTTTAGGTCTCCCTGCTGCCCCTTTCTGGGCCTGGCTTTTCCAATGGGTAGAAACAAGGACAACTCACCTGGATGTGTGGGGGAGTGCTGAGGACGTAGAGAACAGCCTCAGCCACATCCTCAGGTTTGAGACACTGAGAGCACCAGGGGGGAAAGGATTGAGACAAGGACAGAATGGACCCAACTTCTTCCCACCTCTGAGGAACTCTCTAGCATTTCATTCATATTCCCACCCCAACCCTCCAAGAGAGGTGAAAACAGGATATAGTCTGAGGGGAGTTAAAGACTGAGTGGCTTAACTAGGCCCAGAGGGAAGCCCCACCTTTATGCGCTCATAGGTGGCAGCTGCTTTCTCAGGATCCTTGTCATGGAGTTTGAAGGCGAACTGTGTTTCCACCAAGCCTGGAGAGATGCACTGGGCCAACAGAGAGGTCCTGTTCAGCCTGAGCTTTGCCAGGCCTTGGGAAGTTGAGGGGAAAGGATAGAGGCCACTGGGCTCCAGCTTTACAGTGACAGCTGTCTGATGTCCACAACTGTCCTCCTCCTTCCAAAGTCACTACTGGGAGCTCCCAAGTAACAGCTATCGTAGTAGCTGTACTACCTACAGAACCCTTCCTATATGCTTGGTCAATGCTTCACAAAGTGGTGTTCCCTAAAGCCTCATAGCCAGGTAGGTTATCATCAACTCCATTTTACAGATGTTTAGACTAGAGCTTGGGGAGGTTCAGGGATTTACCCAAAGTCATACAGTCTTCTATGGAAAAGCCCAGAGAGTACTATGCCCTGTCATTGTGTGTGGTTTCCCCAAATTCCTTGCTTTCCCTTAGTCTTACTCCATGTTCCCTTTAAGTCAGCCCCCTCCCACTCCAAGTGTAAGTCTAGTGATTGGCTCTAGGACAACTGATAAGAGGAACCTAAAGGAAAGAACAGAGGCTTGCAAGGAGCATCTGCACCCAAGAGTTCTAGACTCAGTTGACTCCCAGGGTCTCTCAGCAGGCCTTCCTGGGCAGCATGTGTGTGCGGAAGGTCCTGGGCCCATCCATTCCCATCAGGTCTAGACCACAGCCTCACCGTGGCCCGGATATGGGTCTGGGCCTCCAGAAGCTCTTGCCTCAGTCCCTCTGTCAGCGCAGTGACGGCATACTTGGTCGCACTATAGAAATGGATCACAGACTGGGGTGGGACTCGGTGGCCACACATGCTGGGTGGAAGAAGGGAAGGGGAGAGAGGAGAGAGTGAAGCTCTGTAGACACTGTCAGCAGTCAACCAGCCTGGCCAGCCTGGCCACCCAGAGGCTCATAGGGAAGCCCTGTCAAAGGGAGTTCTGATGGCTAGCCCATAGTCCACAGAATGAATCTAGTTTCTGTTGTCCACACAGCACCTGAAACCTGCTCTGTCTTGAAGCAGTGCCTTTGCTGACTACAGAACACAGTCCTACAGTCCTGCAGGATGTCAAAGCCTCACCATTTTATCTGTGTGCTCCCTGATAATGGGTCTACTGGGCGATCTCTAAGGGTGGGCAGGGATCATGTCTCCCCTCAGACAGGGGGCTCTCATATGGTATCGCCTATGAAATCTCTTTACACCAGAGGAGAATTCATCCCAGGGATTGAGGAAGGGAGACGTAATGGTGCTCAGTCCCAGGAAAGATTCCACCTGTTGGCTATGGAGGGCAGGGGCTAAGCTGTCCACTCTAGACAAGTAGAGGCAGGCACTTTCCTTCACCAGAATTGTGCCACCTGGAAAATAAATTCCTATTTTATCACCATAGAAAACTGCTGTCTATGGCCCAGAACTTGGGAGGCAGAGGCAGGCAGATCTCTGAGTTTGAGGACAGCCTGGTCTACATAGTGAATTCCAGGTCAGCTGGGCCTACAGGGAGACTTATCTCAAAAAGACAAAAAACAAAACAAAACAAACAAACAAAACCCTGCAGTCCAGAGGTCACGTGAATTACAGCAGACCACCTACCTGCTTGGAAAGTGACCCAAGCTCTACTTATCAGCCAACTGGCCTCACCTGTTGATGTTAATAATGTGCCCGTCGTCCACATTCCGCTCCTTCATGGACTGATAGGCTTCCCGAGTGCAGATGCTGAGAGCCAGCACGTTTACCTGCGGGCCAAGGAGGATAATGGGGTATCTCCAGCTTGGGACCAACTGAGCAGGTGACAGAACAGCAGAGTACCAAGAAAAGGGGGAGGTGTGCCTTCTCTGTGGGTGTTCTTCCCCTCAAAGCTGCCACCCCGAACTGACAGGCAGAGGTAGCTCCTTTCCTAGCTCAGCCCCTGTAGTAATGAGCTTCCCAACCAAGTCCAGGGCCACTGCCAGCCACCTCTGTACTAGGAGGAGCTCTGCCCCAGGGAATCTCTTTTCTTCTCCAAATCAGCCACCCTTCTCAGGGACAGTGTTCAGCCCTGCTCCCTCTTACTAAAATGGCCTAAATATCCCCTCTCACACAGAGCCCAGCCTCTCCCTGCCTTCCTCGGCCACCCTGCTCCCTTCAATCCCAATCCTTAGTATGAGGAGGCACACACTCCTGGCTTTAACCTGTGTCCCAGAAACAAGCCCAAGTGCGGGGACTCCAGAGGGTTGGGTCATTTGCCACTCCTTCTGGCAGAGGCAACACCAAATCCCCACCCTTCGTGGAACAGAGGTCTGAGGAGCTATTTGCTATGAAGCACCTGTGTGCTCCACCCTTTAGCCTTTCCAGAGAGGCCAGCAGAGATAAAGATTTCATCATCCTCACACCTTTCCTCTTGAGAAGAGGGGGACAGCTGGCAGATTAGCTTATTCTCTTTATCAGGTGTCAGCCAGACATAAGACAGAACACCCAGCAGTGAGGGCCTGCCTCAGTGTTTGTGGTAACAGCAGGACATGGGTACTAGGATTCAGGAAGGGTTCAGTTCTGGTCCTTTTAACAGGGTGATTGTAGGGCAGATGGGGAACAAATAGACCCCTGGGAGAACGTAAGGAAATCTAAGCCTAAGGCCTGCTAGGATGAGGCTAACGGACTTGGGTAATATTCAGAACAAAAGGGGCCTTAGGGACTTAATGGTTTCTCATTTTACAGATGTCCAAGTTGAGGTCCACGTTTACATGTGCCTCTGCAGCTGAGGGCTATGACTCTGCTCTCCCAGAAGGTCTCTGAGGACAGGGATTCTTTCCCATTGTTCACTGTTTCATTTCCACTTCCATGCACCTATTAATACTAACCTATTGATATGAGATGTGAAAAGGATTATGACACTGCTTTCAGTCTCTCAAAACTTTCATACCCCAATGCCACCCCATAGCCTAGAAGCTAAAAATCCATGTCCTAGATGCTGTATTGTACCTGCACATGCTATTATATTTATTTAACTTTGTGTGTGTGTGTGTGTACATGTGTGCCACATTGCTAATGAGGTCAGAGGACAACTTGCAGAAGTTGCTTCTCTCCTTCTACCATGTGGGTCCCAGGGATTAAACTCAGGCCGTCAGGCTTGGCGGCAAGTGCCTTTACCCACTGACCCATCTCACCAGCTCCTGCCTTCTACATGCTCTAAAACCTTTTTAAATACACCACTGCTTCACAGGCCCCTGGTGCCCACTCTCCTCTCACCACCTACCCTCCTGCCCCAGGCCTGGAAGCCCTTACATTGAACATTTCCTTCCAACCGCTGGTGCTGCCTGAGAGCAGGGTGTCAGGCCGGGCCATGCCGGCATTGTTAATGCAGATGTCCACGCCACTGTGCTGCGAGCGAACAGCCGAGAACATGGAGATGATGTCCTCCTCATTTGACAGGTCACATCTGTAGGGGATCAAAGTCCCGGGGTAGCCTGCACTCTTACATTCAGCAGCCAGCTCCTATGAAACCCAACAGGGTAACTGGGGTGAGCTGCTTACTCCCACACCCCCTCACCCCGAGTCAGCCTTCCCTCCCAGGTCACCCACCACTCAGAACTCTCTCCGGTGGCAGCTGCCTTTAGGTCACATAGATACTGAGTCTATCCATCCCCAAAGCTTGTCCTGTTTAGTCAAAGTCCAAGGGTTGGGGGCACTCCCTGAATAAGGAAGAGGGACAGTTGGACAGATCAATGGAAGAATCTCACAGATACATTCTCAAGTCTTCAGCACTAAGGAGGGATAAGGGGGCAAGGATCCTGGGAATGGAGAGAGATGGCTTTTCTGTCTCTTCCCCAATAAGAACAGTTCCTCTACCTGTACCTGTAGATGTACCTCTGGTCCTACCTCATTCTTCTATCAGTGCCATAAGACCCTAAGTTGGTTACTCAAGGTCCAGATTCTTCTCTTCTTTCTATGCCAGTCAGTCCCTCCCAGGAGGGCTCAGCTCTGAACTGCCAACTGCCACCCTCCCCTCACAAAGGGCAGTGTGACAGAAATTAAAAGATGAGTCACACACACATACACCTTTCAGTGGTACCCAATTGTCAGTCTTCCCTTTCCTGTTCTCTCTCTCTCTCCCTAGAAAGGATCAGGATGTCAAGACAGATTTTCTAACCCCTGGTGCCCCACCCTTGTCCCTAAGGTTTCCCCTACCTTCCCTTAGTCACCTGCTACTGACATTCCCTGTACATGTCCAGGGCCCTCAGCACACTGCAGAACCTGAAAAAACAGAGCCACTAAGACATAGTGTGAAGAGAGCTGACATTTGCAATCTGAGAGAAAGCAGCCGGCATGGCCTTGGAGGCCAGTGACTGGGCACTTGAGCTTGTGAAGGTGTGTAAGTGTGGTAGGGGGAGGGGTGCAGGCTGCCCTAGAGGAAGGCCAATTGGGCCAGCTGCCTTGGCCTGGAGCCCCTTCCTCCTCCCAAGCCAATCTAGGAATAAAAGATTAAATCAGGTGACTGAATAAATTCTTTCCTGCTTTACCTTTCTCTGAACTCAAAAGCTATACCCTTCTAGGACTCAGTAGCCCCCTTCCCCCTGATTTTACTATTCATGACCACCTCAGAGAATAGGATTTCTCCCAGTAGAAAGCCAGAACTCAAACTTGGCTTTAATATCAGTAAACAAATCAATCAATAAAGCAGATGGTGAGCAAGAAAGCCTGGAATCCTTCCCATCCCCAAGGTGCACACCTCTCCCTCTCCCTCCAAAGCTGGGGAGTGAGGGGGTGCTGAAACTATTCTCTCTCTGTCTCTCCTTACCTCACTTGTACCATCTCCATCTACCCTCCAGAATGACCTGACATGGCAGTGTCCACACAGCAGAAGTGTTCTCCCTTCATGATATAGACCATCCTGGGGCTGAGTCATCAGCCTGGTGAATCCCTTGGGACACAGGGGTTCCCTTTCCTGGCTAGCTTGGGGTAGAGAAGGCAAGACTGGTTTCTGAATTAGGGACTCCAAACAAGGAGAGAGAGAGACAGAGAGACAGAGACAGAGACAGAGAGAGGAGAGAAGAGAGAGAGAGAGACAGAGGAAAAGATACAGAGTAAAGAATCTAGCAGGTATCCTAATCCTCTAGGCTCCAAATCTGGGGCCAGCTGGACTGTCTAAGGAGAAAGGGAGGGGCAAAGGCAATGGTGGAGCCAGGTGACCTTGGGATTATCTGGGAGGCTATAAAATGTACCTTTGGTCAGTGGTTGGGGAGGGGACAGTCCTCCTTCCTTGTGTACCTCTCCCTCTGCCTCCACCCAAGTCCTCCTTAGTTTTTCTCTACCTGAGAACTTTGAGCAGTGGTAAAGATAGAGCCCTACAGGTAAAGACAAATGCACACCTGAGAGTGGTCCTGCCAGGGCAAAGAATGGTTATTTCTCTTGTCTTCCTCCTTGCCCCAGAAGGCCAACTCTATTTTTCTCTGAGCTGGTGCTGCTCATAACTCTAGGGGGTTCCCAAACCTATGTCAAGAGAAAAACTAGGAATTCTGTATCCCTATTATTCTGTTCCTTCAAGATTTATATCTTCAGTGCCCTATTTCACCTATTCAGTCCCACCTAGGAAAATGAATCAGAAAAAGAAAAAAAAAATCTAAGTATTCCAGCCATCACTTAGACTCACTAGGTAGGAGTTGAGCCTCTGATGTAGATTGGAAAGAGAGCTCCTCAGAAAAGCTCCCACCCCAACCCCACCCTCCCTCCTGGGTCTAACATGCAAAACCTCTAGCATGCTCATTGGCTGCCTGCACTTTGCCTGGTGTGGCTGGGTGAGGTCTGGGGACAAGAGGAAACCAACCTAGCCACTAGGACTAGAAAGCTTTCTTTCCTACTCCCTGGCTGCCTCGCTAGCTCCTAACCCCTGGTTTCCACTTTCCACGAGCCAGTATCCTGGGCAGGCGGTGGCAGGGGTAGAGGAAGAGAATGCCAGGGGTCGGAGATTTGGTTCACTAGAGCACAGGTTGTCAGGAGTGAATGGTTCTTTAAAACACGGGACCAAGAGAGTGAGTAGGTAGATCCTCCCCTACTAGACATCCATCACTCCTGCCCCCAAGGCCGTGTGGCAAATGGCCCTGGGGTGGCAGGCAAGTAGGAGCTGGGCTCCGGCCACTCCCCCTCCCCCACTCAGAGCCCTACGCCGTGGAAACGACGTCCCCCTGAGCGTCCCCTGACCCCAGAGAGGCCTTACCTCGATGTTGCCAACGGTGCGGGCACAACCCACCACCTTCAGTCCCTGCTGAACTAATGCCCGGGCTACGGCCGCGCCGATGCCCCCCGAGGCTCCCGTCACCAGGGCCAGGCGGTCGCGCCACCGCTCCATGCCGGCTCTGGCCATGGTCCCGAGCCGCCTGGCCACCTCGTTCGACGAGCCGGATACTGGGATCTCGGAGCTTCGTCCCAGGTCACCGAGGCTCGGCCGCTCCCTGGTCACTGCAGGGGTAGGCGCCGCCGACCCGCAAAACTCCGAGCTGCGCCGAGCCCCACCCCCATGCGGGCCGGCCTCCGGCCCGGGCTCCGCCCTCGGGACCTCGGCGCTAGGCCACATCCCTCGGAGGACAGCCGCTGCCCCGCCGCCCGACTCCGGGAGCGGCCGGCGCCACGCCCCTTCCGGCCACGCCCCTCGCGCGGGAGCCCGTCCCTCCTCCCGGCACGGGGAGAACGTCGCGTCCACCGTGTCCTCCCGGAACCTGGGATCCTGCTTTCTTGGTTGGCGCTTGCCCTGGGGTGGGAGGCTGACTTTTGGATGTACATACTTCAGGCCTCCCGCTCAGCCTCACTTCTCCCTGAGCCCTGAGGCCAGGATGCAGGGCCCTAAAGGTGACTCCAGTTGTCCTCCCAAACCAGTTGGTGACTGATGGGAAGGATTCTGTCCAGAAAGGGTCTAGCATCTCTCCAAGTCTGGGTGACCTTGGAAGGGCTCTTATTCATACTACCTAATTCTTGTAGCCAAGGAGAGCTAAACGGTTAAAGATGGAAATATATCCAAGTATTGTTGGTTTTGTGTTCCTAAGTGGTCCTACTGACTCCCAATTATCCTAGATATCTAACCCACCCTAGTCCCACATAGGAGCAACTATTTCATGATGTTCATCAAAGACTGCTGGCAAAGCTAAGAATTTGAGCGCCGCATGGCAGGCATAAATATATTAATATGCACAAGGTATCCTATGTTGTTTTTCTCCCTTGTTGGCGACCCAAAACTGGGCCTGGCACTGCTAAGCAGGGGCTGTACTACAAGGCTTGGTAGCACAAGCTTGTAATCCCACAAGATGGGAGGTAGAGGTGGGATAATCAGTTCAAGGCCATCTTTGACTATGAGTTTCAGGCCAGCTTAGCTGCATGAGACCTTGCCTCAAAAAGCTAAACAACAAAATGAGCACGCTGGCACAGCAAAGAGCCACCAATGGTGTAGTCTGCAGCCCAGTCCTATAACAAGGATGTCAACTGTCTTCAGTCTCCAATATTCTCCATTCTTGGCTTTCAGCTTTGTTAAGGGTAAAACCCACTTTATCCTCTGGCCATTCAGGGTTTTTCATCAATTTTAAAAGCTACTTACTTAATAGAGCCATCCTTTATGATAACTGGAGTTGGTATGTAGCGCAGTGGTAAGGCACCTACCTACCACTAATAAAAACCAAACAAAAAGCCATCCCTGAGGCACTCCTGTAATGCCAGCACCAGGGAGGCTGGTCAATGACTATAAGTTTGAGGTCAGCCTGGGATATTTAGTGGGACTCTTGCCCTTTTTTTAAAAAAAAAAAATTTTTTTTTTTTTGGTCTTTTTGAGACAGGGTCTCCCTGTAGCCCCAGCTGTCCTGGAACGCACTATGTAGACCAGGCTGGCCTTGAACTCACAGAGATCCACCTGCCTCTTAAATATTATATGTATGTGTGTATTGCCTGCATGGAGGTAAGTGCACCCGTGTCCTGCAATGTCCGCGGAGGATAGAACAGGCTGTCGGATCCCCTGGAACTGGAATTATGGACAGTTGTTAGCTGCTATGTGGGTGCTGGGATTCAAATCCAGGTCTTCTGCAAGAACAGTCAGTGTTCTTAACTGCTAAGCCATCTCTCCAGCCCCGAATCTTGCCCTTTCACTCAACAAGCACCCATTTGCTTATCCTTTGAATGGCCCCAAGGGCAAAGATTAAAACAAAACTAGCTATTGCTTTTTAGGGGGGTCTCAAAAAAAAAAAAATAACACAACTAGGCTAGGCATGTAGGCTCAGATAGTAAATGCCTAGCAAAGAAAAAAAATGCCTAGCTAAGTGTAGGATGAAGCCCTGGGTCTGATTCTCACTACAGCATAAAGCCAGGCATGGTGGCCCACATCTGCAACCCCAGTGCTCAGATCAGGAGTCCAGGTCATCTGGCTAGAAACAGAGTTTGAGGCCAGCCTGGGCTAACTTGAGACCTGATCAAAAAGCCAAAATAAGCCAGGCATGGTGGCACTTACCTTTAAACCTACCACTCAGGAGGCAGGGGGATCTCTGCTATCCCAGTCTATATAGCTAATTCTAGGCCAGTTGGGGCTACAGGGAAACCTTGTCTCAAACCAAAAAAAAGCCAAAATAAGGGCCGAAGAGATGGCTCAGTGGTTAAAAGCACCGATTGCAGAGGACCAAGGTTTTGTTCCCAGCACCCATGTGGCATCTAACAACCATCTAAAACTCTAGTTCCAGGGGATCTGTCACCCTCTTGGCCTCTGTGGACATTGCATGACAAGGATATACTTACACACACACAGGCAATACACTAATACACATAATCAAAAACATTCTAAAAGCCAAAACAATCCCCCCCTTAATCATTATGTGATGCAGAGGGGGATCAGTAGTCATTTTTTATGGATTCCATAATGAAAGCCAACAAGAACCTCAGATGAATCCCTACTCATTTGGATCTCTGCCTCAATTCTGCCACCCTTCTTCAAGAGCTGTTGGAGTTGGGCATGTGGCTCACTGCTACACAACAGATTTTTTTAGGGAGAACTCAGAAGGTTCATCAAAGAAATGTTACCAACTAGCTAGGTTCGGTGGTACACATCTATAATCCCACTATGAAGGAGACTGAAGCAGGAGGATTGCCTCCAGTTCAAGGTCAGTCTGTGTTGCATAATGAGCTCCTATCTCAAAATGAAGATTAAAGCTACGCATTACTAGTCCCCATTTGAAAAGTGATTAAGCAGAAAGCCCCCCCAAATTCACTCCATGCCGACTGCCCAGAAGTGATATCGTACCATTTATTTGTCTGCTGCCCACCAAAAAACAACATGCAGTCACAAAGCTTTCAACCTTTTTGTGTATGTTCATGTGATTTGTGTACAGGTGCACGTTATGTGTGTGTGCAGAGGCAAGAGGACCTTGGATGTTCCTCAAAAGCACTGTCCACCCGTCTTCAAAAATCACATTTACAGGCCAGGCATGGTGGCGCATGCCTCTAATCCCAGCACTTGGGAGGCAGAGGCAGGCGGATCTTTGTGAGTTCAAGGCCAGCCTGGTCTACGAAGTGAGTTCCAGGACAGCTGGGGCTACAAGGGCGACCCTATCTCAAAAAAAAAAGACAAAAAAATTACATTTATGTGTTTGTCGTGGAGTGTTGTCAGAGGACAGCTTATGGAAACTGGTTCTCTCCTTCTACCATGCTAGGGGAAGAGGGAGGTAACAAACTGGGCTTGTCATATTGTGAGGCTTAGAGCAAATACCTTTTACTTCTAAGCCATGGTGCTGGCCCCACCCTGTTTCCAGACAAGGTCTCTCACTACCCAGTGGTGTAGGGTGGCTGGCCAGCATGCTTCAGGGATGTCTCTGACTTTGAGTATTGGTATTACACAGCTTTTTAATTTTTTTTCCCGATTTTTTTTGTATTTCAAGTTTCATACATATATATAATGAATTTTAGTCCTCTTATCCCTATTATTCTGTCTCGTCCCTTACATAGCTTTTTTACCTGGGTTCTGAGGAAAGAACTCAAGTCCTCTTAGAAGCTCTTTAATAAGCCACCTCCCCTATCAAATGGCAGCAAAATGCTATCCTAGGGAATCTTTCAGTACTGCCTCAGTACTCAAAACAGCTGTGGCAGTAGTGAACTATAAGGCCATAGTTGAGTTTATGTTGGAAAACAAATAAGGTTGACTGCACTTACACAAAACTGCAATGTGGTTAGCTCTCATGCCTCCTTCCCCTCCTAGTCTTACATGCTGAGTATCACAAAAACGGTTGGCTGAAATTCTGCCACATTTTATTTTCATTCCGTACAAAGAATGAACCTCTGAATTTAAGGGATGTTGTTACCTCTGAGGGAACTTCAAATCCTGCAATTAAAATCTGATGTAAAAGTAAAATGCTAGTCAGTATTTAAAGGCATTTATTCTTTTAAAACAAGACTAGGAACTGCTTTCTTCAGTTGTCAACCCTTATCAAGGGAAGAATTGTCTTTAACAGTCTGTATCTCTATCTTCATTTGCTCTTCATCCTCTTTCCATCAACACTGGCCAAGTACAAAGTTCACAAGTGGCAAATACTAAAGTACTGCCACATTAAGTAGAAACATGTACACCAAATTCTACTATGCGTATTAATAAATATTCTTTATTTTAAATTTTGCACATTGCGCTTTAACAGTACATCCAGACATTTTGTAAGTGGATGTCTACTTTGTAAAACCATATATTCAGCTCATTGTCATTTCTGTACAGAAGATAAGTACATCATTACTTTTTGCCACTAAGTTGCTTTAGTAAGTCTCACAGGAAGAGAAACACTTAATGAAAAGAGATGGCTTAAATCATATGGCAGGCCTGCGCAGTCACGCAACTAAAGACACAAGCCTGAAGAAAGAACAAACTAATGAGGTTACCTCCACCGTCTCCCGAAACAATAAGGAATCACATTGATTTAAGATAAAATTTTGCCAGAAGTCACTAAATTAAGAGTTTTTTAAAAGAGAAGGCGCAGTAGTCATCTTGAGTGTTTCCTTGAAAGACAGAGCTATTTTATTTAATTTGCTCCAGCTGTTGTCAACCAGCCACTACAAATGGGCCTCTTGTGGTCATTTAAGCGGCAGTATTTATTAAATTTCTCCTTCAGATGCTGTCGGTATTGTTCTCTATTGCTGTAGAAAGACTGGTTATTCGCCATAAACGACTGTATTTCATCTTGTGAGATAAAGATTTCCTCATCTGAAGTACATTCAGACTCGTCCTGCAAATGAAAGCAGCAGTTAAGATGACGACTTCAAAAATGCAAAATGCCCAGGGGGGGGGCTTTAATCCCAGCACTCGGGAGACAGAGGCAGGCAGATCTCTATGACACTTCATGCACACGGTATACAAACATACATGCAAGCAAAACACCTATATACATAAAAAAACTCAAAAAAATTTTTTTTTAATCTTTAAAAGAAATGAAAAGAAAAAGGCCCAGTGACTTGCGTTGTGGCACAGGCTTTTAATCCCAGCACTCAGGAGGTAGAGACAGACGGACCCCTGTGAGTTCAAGGCCAGCCTGGTCTACATAGTGAGTTCCAGACCAGCTGGGGCTACAGGGAGACCCTGTCTCAAAAAGGCTGGGGAAAAAAAA